GGGGGGGGGGGAGCGGCGATTTCCTATTGGCTAAAGTGAATCAATTAATACTGCAGCCTTTCGATCATATATAAAAGTTGAGAATGAAACACTGATTACCATTTTGACTTTTTTGATTAACTTTATTAAAAAAACTTCCCTTTGATAGTGCCTTTCCTTCCAAAATTGTCTGCTAATTTGTAAATACGCACAACTCGAAGGGGAAGATGTTTTTTTGTATCAAAAAAAATGGGGAAAAATTTATGTTTAAGAGGGAAGCATTGGTTTGCATGCGATGAGAGTGTGGCGCCGTTTTTCCCACTCATACAATGAGTCACTTGGAGTGGCAAAATTTGCGGATCCCGTGGTCACCCGTGGCTCACAAGTCAAACCGCCTCACAGTGGCCTGCATCCACCATTCCCGAGGGGGAAAAAAAATAAATGTAAGTCGACGAGGGTGAAGACACGCCTTCAAAAACAACGCGTCTCTCCTTTTCGTGTGTGCGTGTGTGTGTGTGAACATCGAGATGGCAAGATTTCTCACAGCATTCTGATCGCAAATTCAAGCCTCTGTGTGTGTGTGTGTGTGTGTGCAACGAAATAGCCCAAAATTTATGGTCCGAAATCCGGCGCATACAAAGTCTTCATTTGGTAGGCGATGGGACCGAAGGCACCATATCCACAGAATGTGAAGAAAATTTCGGTAAAAATGCATGTCACAGGTAAAATAATTGAACAAACCTCATTAACCAATCAAATTGCACGATCGGAGAGGGGGAAGCGAAACCGGCAGGAGGAATGGAATGGGAAGCCTAGAGGAGACGTGCTGTGTACTACATTTGTAATAAATTAGTATTGCCTAATAAAGTACATTTTTTGCACCAACTTTTGCACCATTAAAGTGTTGGCATTTTTTATGCAATTTGGTGATGAAAATGATGAAGGTAAATTTGTTTTGCCTTCCCTCACATCTCTCACCCCCTTCCCTCCCCCCATCTCCTCATGTTAGCGTCCACTGCATGCGAACATGCAAGGAGGTCTACAATTCGACATGGTTAATTTAAAAATTCGGCTAGTTAATGCAGCATGTTTGTGCTTTTTTAGTGTGGTGCAGGTGTTATTAGCCGACGGGAAGACTCAGTAGGACAGCAGTGCCCAAAACTCCCTCAAAAGACCGTTGGGAGGGGGAAGGGAAGAGAGAGTTATGATATTGCTAGAGGTAGAACAGCTAACTACTCAGATGGGTGACACTGATGTCACAGTTGTAGCTTAAGCATGAAAAACACTCCACAATGTTTGAGCCTTGGCTGTGTCTGACGCCTTCACCCCAAAATCACAAAAGTCTCGCAAAACGATTATGCGTAAGGAAGTATGCAACTTTTAGAAGGGGTATTGTTGAAATTAACAAGTCTAGCTCTGTCTTAGCCCTTGACATTGGTAATGGGAGTTGTCAAGTGGATCTACTTGGGTGCTGTCAAAGGTCAGTTGCATTCCACCAGTCTGCCAGGCTCTGGACATTCACCCAAAGCCCCTCTTTTAAAGGTACAATTTTAAAAAAATAATATGCATATATTTCGAGTGGAAAAAAGACTCTGCCTCATAAATATGAAATCATTATTTTATCGTCAAGTGCCAAGGCGTTGGGCGAACCCCCTTCTGTGTCCCTTTGACAAGGCAGAAAAGTTTAGCGTGCACGAGTGTGACGTTCGGACTCGCCTCGCTCAGCAATTTACTTCACAAACACATTTAAAGACCGATTACTCAACCAGAATGGCATTATTTTAGTCAGGTTCCAACTCCAATGTGGCCCTGAGGATGGAAAAATAATGATTTTAGTGTAAAAATATGGCCTTAGAGGTGGAAAGATGGAGATTCGATGGCTAACAAGAAGGCACTTGTAGACAAGGTGGGACAAGAAATGACACTTGACACAACTCACTATCCCTTTGGAATGATAACTTTTCATCTCCACAGTGCAGTGGACGCGTGTTTATGCACCCAATGATTGTTGTGAGGCGAGTGGGCTTCGGAGGAAGGAGGATCTTCCGTCATCTTCCCATCATTTCGCGCCCCTCTCAGTTACTGATCTTTACAATTTTCTGCCATAAGCTCCAACTGGTTGCACAGTCAGATGAAACGACCGACATATGCGCATGTGAATAGGAGTGGGATAAGGAGGAGGCGGAGGAGGAGGTGGAGGAGGGTCCCTTTAATAGAGCAGTCGATCACTCAGCCAGCCAATCACGTCGCGTCCTTCAAACTCTGTGTAATAGAACCTCGAAGACAGTGGCTAACAACTTAATGTTTGTATTAATGACTCTGCTGCGTCTACAACCCAGTAAATGCGTCTATCTAGTGAGAAGGAAGGCGGTTCACCACCTCTGTGAGCGTAATAACAGTCCCTGACAGAGTCGCCTCAAAATGGTGTGACAGCTAGTAAATCATCGCCATCTTTTGATCCTCACTGACTTTGAGACTGTAGTCTGAGAAAGGTATCACTTTATGCTCGCCAGACTCGACCACCACATCTTGTCATTGACGTAGAAGATCGAGAGAACTTCCTCTACACCCTTTTCAATTGGTCGTGCAGTTTAAATGGTCTGGCATTACTTCACTGCACCACAGTCAGCAAAATTTAACCGTGCTGCCAAGTGATTTATTGAAGCACAGAGGGTGTGGAGGTAAATTTTGTCCCTTTAAAAAGAGACATTTCACTTTCCATCTCCTTACTTTTCACTTTTTAAAAGTGGGAATAAATATATATGCCTTCCAAACGGCTTTAGAGGGATCTAAGGCAAGAACTCTGTTTCCTGAAAAAAAAATAATAATTACTTTAACTCTCAATTTTAAGCATAGGTTGGGTAGGTTGGGCAGCCTGTGAAGAAGTAAACCGGCTAAAGTTTGGTTCTGCTTTTGCCATGACGATTGTATGAGACACTCACAATGGCAACTGGCTTGTGTGATCGCCTCGATGGAAGGTGGCTCGCAGTTCCACACCAGCCACACAGCCAAATTGCCCTCTTGACCTTCGGGGTCAAACATTGCTTTAAGCAACCAAATTAGGCGGATGTACACAACAGAAGGGACATCCAAAGTCAAGTCAGAAGGATAGTAAAGATGACCAAAAGTTGTGTAGAAAAAAAAAGACAAAATTTAAAAATTTATCAATTAGCATCAGTAATTTGTGGGGAGTGTCATCGTCCGGGTGATGCAGTGTCGCTTATCCAGTTCAACTTGCAAATAGGACACAATATTCAAAAATTAGCATGCATAACCGCTAAGGTGAGGCGTGAGGAAAAAAAAGCCTCCTTTCTGATACGTTTTACGTCATCGCATTCTTTTTTTCTCCCCCATCTCCTGTGTTGGAGAGACACTGCCACTAATGCTTGCACAATTTCTGACTTGATGCCCTAATGGCCTCTGCTGGTGGTGTACTGCTCTTCCCTTTTCCCTCCGGGCAAAAAAGACGACCCAAAGCATTTACTAAGAAATGCGTGAAACAATAGACACGTTTCAAAACACCGAGTGGACATCCCAAAAGAGTATAAATTTTTAGCACATACTTTAAAATATTAAAAATATGGATGAGAAGACATTAAAGTAACTATTTACTTACTATTATGCTGATCAGCAACTATTGGAGTACGTGGTAGGTCCAGCTTGAAAAATTGACTCCTTCCCTCTCCTGCTCTCTGCCTCTCTACCTGTCTGTGTGTGTGTGTGTGTGGATGCGTGGGTGGATTTGCGTATGTTTGTGTGTGTTTGTGTGAGTGTGTGTTAGAAACAGGGCCATAGTAACTCCATAATTGCTTTATTCTTCAATACATCGAAATTACTCCCTTAGCCGATGGTCTCTTGAGTCCACCTGCGGTCATAAACGGTTTTGGCTAAGGCTACCGCCAATCTGATTGGCTAGCACATCAGCCAATAGGATGACGAAGTTGGTATTATTCGAAGGCGCGTTGTGCGTGTCCACGATGGCACAGCTACTACGCCACTCCTTGCCGTCTTGACTCCTTATTTATAAAATATGCAAATAATAGTGTTTTTTATGACTCCTTTTATGAGATGAGAGCTCACTGCGTCCACCAATCATATTCGCTGCAATGCGACTAGCATGGCTTACCATGTGATCTGCATTAGAACTTTAAAGGGGTTTGAACTGGCAGCTAATTTGCATTTTTTTCACTTTGTTCGCTTCAAATGGCCGTAGCTTTAAAACTGTCACTGGACATTCAAGTCAGTGAGTCTCTATTGGTTAAAATTCTTCAAAGATAATGCTTAAAATCATACAGCGAATCCAGTTGTCCGATCAAACCGGAAATGTAAAATTTGCATCAACAAGGTGACACGTTGATGGGGTTGCACTAAAAGAAGCAGTAACCGAGACAAGGTTGTTCTCTTAACACTCATGAAAGCCACGTTTTAGGCCGTAAGTGTGACAGTCCAGTCCAGTCCAGACACCGTTAATCAAGGCGGCAAGGGACAGCCGTGGTATGTAATTTGATGGCGCAGTTTGTGGTGTCTTGCCAAATGAGACACAAAATCTAAATCTCAACGTTGTTACACCTAACAGAACTGAGAAGGTAGTGTCATTAATGACGTCGAATCGTCAGCTGTCACATTCGTCTTGACCGATTGGCAGTCCGCATTGCATCGACGAGTAGACGTCAGCTGGGATGGGTTTAATATGTCAATACCGCCTCGTATGAACAGCAAATAGGAAGGCAGACAAGAGACTAATCAACCTTGGATGGTTCTAAGGGCGTCCATTATATTGTTGACACGATCTGACAGCGTGGGAGGAGATGATCTGTCCTTCATAAATACCTCAAATGCGGTTGGACAGCACCAGTGCGGCCAAAAATTGCGATTAAATGACTTACCTCTTTAAAGGAATGCTAATGGCATTTAAACTGTCGAAAAGGTGGATCTTATAGCTGCAGTTGGAAGGTTATGAAGAGCGTTGGAAGTAACAATTTAAAAAAAGGAAGGAACTTCAGGCTGTTGACTCATAATTGTTTTTTAAAGAGGCGGTTACTTGAGTGTCTCAGATTTTCACTCTTTACCATAAACCGTGCTTTACTCTAGTGGCTTTTAAACGCTTTTAGTAGTGCTGACACATCCCTTCGTACGTCAACAACCTTTCAAAAAACATTCGTGCAAAAAAAAAGAAGAAAAACAGTTTTTGATTGCTGAGCACCTGGTGTACATTTCCACGTCTCCAAGGCGCTTAAAAGTTCCGTGATATTTTTTGCACACACTTCGACTCGACTCTGACAGAGGTGGTCAGAGGATTGCCAGTCCTGAGGAGGAGTCGAGAGATAGTGGCACAAATGAGTGACAGTAGATGGAAGTAAGGGTCCACCAACATTTGTCAGAAGAGGGAGAAAGTGATAAGGTGCCTGAGTCATGATTTACCGACGGTTGCAAAGTGGTTTCTCCTTCTCTGCCTCAGTAGCTTGACATTGCGGAGACTGAAACTTAATCTAGATTCCGGATTCGACTAAGCAACTTCCCCATGTCTGGAAGCAGTTTACAGAGATGGCAAAACAAAAAAATGCATTTGTTATGAGGTCTGTCGTCAGAACTTATACGCACCACTCTTTTGTTTTCATCCCAAGGCAAAAAGGGAGAAGGAAGGGGGAGGAGAAAGGGGAGGGGGGTAAAAAGCAACACCTCCTTCCATCGCATCATGAATGAATAAGTAAAAAGTAACTATTTTTAGTATCGCTGTAAAACATATTGGTGGGTTAGCCTGACCTAAACAATACTTATAGAAATCATTCGTCTGTCCGCCCACGTATGCTATTAGCCAGAATTTCATTTTTTTTATCTCAAAAACCTATTTGAGATCGCTCGGTCCCGACTTCACTCGACCGTAAGTCTCCAATGGCACTGAACATTTGGTTTCTCAGTTCACATAGACGAACTAGGCAATTAAAAAGCGTTAGAACTGTTTTCAATGCCACTCAGTGGTTTTTGTGCAAGTATTTGGTGAGAATTTTTTACGTTTTTATGACCCGTGTGTAAGGCGGTTGAAAAATGACCAAGATCAAAGTCTCCACGTCTGCTCCAGAAGTGAACAGACATTTCACTGACCACTTTATTGCCACCACGACACGAGCTGTGCCTCACGTAATCAACAGACTGTAGCAACACGCATTGTTCACACCGATGAGTGGCATTACTCATCAGATTAGATGGTAAGATAAGTAAACATTAAAAGTCGTGTGAAAAATGTAGTAAAGTCTTATTAAATTAACTGATAGATATAATTTTGAGTAGCTTATTTTAGATCCTAGGGGGGGATAATTCATTCCCTCTCTATCCCTTCCTTGCGGCTAAATTGAGTACCAACGGTTTGAGTGAATTGAGGCCTATTTTATTTACCATAGGAAAGCATAGTTATTATGATAATTGGCCTAAGTCTGTTAACGATACGTTGCTATTTCAAGCCGAAAGTTCAAGTTGTTCCCCTTTTATCGTCGGTAAGGGCATAAAAAATCTTCGATAAGACTTCAGGATTTTTTTCATAATTTATACAAAGAGAAGATCTAAGAGGCCTGTATCGATGTCGAAAAGCAAATGTCACTCTGCAATCAGTAATAGCACATGAAGAATGGAAGGTAGTTTTGTATTGCTTGAGATTATTCGCAAAGTAATGTACGGCCTTTATACTTATACGTGATTTCAGGAAAAAAATTTACGCGATAGTTAATTGCTTAGTTTTTCACCACTGTTGTCCGCTTTGCAAATGCTGATAGGTAATTTTTTGAAGGTGCCATTACTCAAGAAAGCACATTAAAAAATTCCCAGTTAAGCAGTGACAAAAGGCGCAGTTGCCGTAGAATAACAGAACAGATAATTAAATTTGTATTAGCTTTAGATTTTTTAATAAAGCGCTTCATACTTAAGTGCAAATTTTTAACGATTGTTTTAAGTTTCACTGACCCGAGTGGTCTTTTTGACGTCGCCGTTGGTGCTTGTAGCACCAGCTGCCTGTTGTGGTGGAATTAGGTCGTTTGTGTAAAATATTCCATTCACATTCTTGCATTTTTATGTAATTATATTTTCTCACGATGTTGGATTCGCACTTTGCCGCCCTAGGGGGCGCAGTACCTTCCAAATGCTTGCCTTCTCCAAGAACAGTGGCTCGTGTAGCCTCGAATAATCACCGACCTGGTGGTGTTGGCAGCACACCCTTTTCCCTTCGCCGGAGATTTCAACGTATTGATCCAGTTGCTGATGACTCTGAACCAGCTAACGCAAACTCCTCTCCTCAATTGCCTCGTTCATTATCGCGCAATTATCCAATTACGCATCCTGCTTGTGACCCACCTTTGTGTTCAGTAGGTGCAGGATCTTGACTTTGCGCTTGTGCTTCCTGTTCTGGTTTACAGCGATTGATAGCTCTAAAATATCGGATTTTTGTGGATTCACAAGATCTTAGCTTTCCCAATTTAAGTGGAAATTATTTGTAAATTTATCGATAAAATTAATTGAATTTGTTTTATGCATGTTGCATTTCATTTATAGTCACCGAGAGTACTGCACTGTATTGCTGCTTTTGTTTCCATACTTTGTTTTTCTTCTCCGCATTAAATCGCCTGCACTGAAATTACCTTAGAGTGTGCGTTTGAATCGTTTCCATTTTTGGGTTCCTCAGTGTCCTTTCTTTCCAAGTTTCGCTTATCTTACTATTGGATCGTGTACGCATCACGTGGTTGGTCCCATTCCCTGGTTCCAAAGCATCGGTACTAATCTGTTTCTCCCATATCCCATTAAGCGGTTCCAGCGGTGTGATATTTACAAAATCTCTGCATCTTTCTACTGCCCACTCTGTTTTTTTTCAGCACCAATCTTACATCCAATAATTGCATTCTCACAATGTTTCAGTTACCCAGCTGGATCGGTCTTAACACATAGATACTCTGTTTTGAACGAAAAAAGTTCTGAATAAAAGCTTTCCACTTTAGCATTCCGTGATGGTGTCAGCATTCCTTTTGAGGGTTTGTGTCATTTTCTTAGTGTGTGGTAGTATCTTTATTTTCTAACTCTCGCGCATTTAAGTACACAGCGTTGTCTCCATTTTTAGGGCCTTGGCATTTCTTTCTAAGTATAATTTCTGAAATTTCACAATTAGCTTTAAGGTCTGTTCATTTAATTGGTTTCGTCTGCCTTTGTGTCGGGATTGTGAAGGGAATAAATTGTGGTGATTCTCGGGTTGGTTTGTAGACTCATTTCGGCCTTTTACCTAGTTTAGGTTAAGGTTTGGCAGTCTGTGAATTTTATTTTCTTATTCTCACTTCTATATCCAGCGCCAATCTTTTGCTTACTGTTTTCTCTGACTTCTAATATGCGTGTGTGGCTGTTTTAAGAAAACCCATAATTACAATTCCTTTAGTTTTGCTGCCATTCCCACTACATTTGAAATCACTTAATTTATACTTGTATGTCGAAGATGTTGGGAAGTTTTTACTGGCACTTAATGTCTTCGTCTGCGAACTGACTTTTCATGTGTAAAACTCATCTCTAAATGTTGCTGGAGTGCTATTTCCAACTATCCGAATTTCATTACCTCAGTTGGGTGCACTTTATTTTGTAGGACTGCCGACAATTTGACGCCAAGTTCCCTCATCATTCCGAAATCACGAATGCTACTGACGAAACCGGAGACGAAGAACCTGATTTTCAGCTCCTGCTTGATCCAGATCGTCCTTTGACTCCAGACTACAGCGAAGATGATATTGTCCGGATGATGCTGACGGCAGCAGCTTCAAATAGCAGCAATGGAGGTGGTCGTCTGCGGGGTGCGTGGTGGTGCGACAAGTGCGTTGCTCTTCTCTCCGCTCCCGACGTCGAAATTGGCAACCTCTTTGCTCTGCTGCGTCAGTGGACGCCCTCAACTCAGCTCCAGCTGGATACAATTGTTATGGAGGTAAGATCATTGGTCACGGTTTTGACGCCATTAACTACCAGGTGATGGGATATTTTTATTCCGTTTCGATATTAACCTATGATAGGTGCTTTGGCGTCGGCAAACATCTCCTAGTGTATTTTGGTTCAGTTGCTATGTCGCTACTTTTAATCTTAGGATGATGTTCTCTGTTTGGATTGTCGCCGAAGAAGGTGTAGGAAGTATGATGAGCACGACTTGTTAATCACAACGACGGTTTGATTTGGGTGGAGACAAAACAATCATTGTGAAGGTACCTGCAGTCGTATTTTTGGATCGTCAGCCTCTAACTTTCCGTACTTCCCAAGGGTGCCTTTTCCACGTACCATATATGCTATGAAACTTCAAGTTGCCCTCGTCCAACCAACTAACACGACTATTTCTTTGTGCTGTTCCAGATTTTGAAGCGTGGTGCCCACGTGGATGACAGGGATGGCATGACTGATATGACCCTCCTCCACTACACTGCAAAATCAGGTGCTCTTGGGAACGAGGATCTTGCGTGCAAGTAGGTGCAGGTTTCTACTCCTCCCTTTTTCTAGTGTTCGCGAGGCAGGACAACTTTCATTTACGCTCTATCGAGAGGGTTATTAGTAGTCGTAGTCGTAGCCATATTCCAAAGCAATTATTTGGGCTACTGTTGTGGCTACTCTGAAGGTAGTTTATTGACGTTAAGTGAGACATAGGAACGAAGACCATATGCCACATTCTTGGTTGATTGTACTACGAAAGGCCTTCTAGGCTCGACGCAGGTACTGGACCTCTCCCTTAGCACTCTTCGGAAGAAGGTCTTTTCTGAGCGGCTTCACATGTTGCGAGTACGATGTATCACTGTGTTCCCTGTGGGTCGTTCTCACGCTCCTTGAGCACGGTGTTCGAATTGAATTCTCCACCTCTCATTTGCAAAAGACACTTTGAACATTCATTATGTATTAAGAGCCTTGGTTAACAGGCATTCCTCGGGTAGAAATGTACTGCTAAATCCTGTGCCTATTCTTCATTCCCACTTCGTATGTCGTCCAAATCGTGGGTTAGCTACTGGTAACACCGAAAACCTCGTCAGTGAGCAATTTAAGCTCTCTTAGTGACACTGAACTGCAGCAGTGAGGTAACGATTTGAACTACCCCTTTGGAGGCTACGCCAATCAAGATGAATGTGTTTTCAAGTCCACTAAAAGACTAGCTTTTCTGGTGGGGATCGAATGGGGGGGTACCATTGCCTTCCCAGTGGAAGCAGCCCCTCGGGCCATGACCTTCGCTTGCTTGATTGGCTTCCGGGACGTTGATTTTGTGTATCTGCTCTTTTAGCTCCCTTGTCTCCTTTCATATGCCTTTGTTCTTGGATCTGCAGGTGTCTAGATTATAGCAAACTCCTTCATATTGATTCTTTTACCCTCCACTGCCATAGTTTTTACAAACACCACAATTGCTCTGGCTTTTATTTTCTCCTGGGTCGGAGGCTTCTTTTGTTTCGGAAGCAAATCTAATGAGGCCGAGAATTCCACTCGAATGAAAGATTTTGTCTACTCAGCTCTACCCACCTCTGCTGTGGTTTCACTTAGCTCTAAGAGGGCGATCAGATGGCTACCAAATACAGGACCGAGAAGTGCTTGCGACCGTGCCTCTCTCCTCCTCTCTTCTTTCCTCTGCATTGAAGGGCTCTCCTCTCCCACGCCTGCCCTATCTACTCTCTCAACGGGTGATGCCCAAGGATTTGTCAAATTTGAGTTTGCGACTATTCAACACTCTCCTCCCGCGCATTTCTGCCATATTTGAGAAGTGAGAACCAAATTGTATTTAAAAGTGAATAGAAAGTAAGGAAAAAAAGTAATAAGCGTCAATAAGTGATTGAAAAAAATCCTCACTGATGATGTAGGGGAATTGTGGGTTAAGAATGTTCGTCAATTGGCTTCATGCTCACCACTTCAGAAGGTATTACTGATAAAATGCCTTCTGTAGGCCCGTTCTAAGCAGTGAGCTGCTTCGCTCCTCCCGTCTAATGCCAGGTCGACTACCATCTTCAATTTTTTCATCATCCTCTACAACATTTGTGACTCGAAGAACCTCGGCTTTCAGTGTTTCATAGGGCGATGGTTCTGACTCGCGTTTGAGGTACAATTGGTGGCACAGTCTTGAAATATCGGGGGGCAGTCGTGACCACACTGCATTGAACCGCTCCATTTCATTGCGCACCCCACCAAGACGGAATTGGGCTTCTGCTTGACGGAACCATCCAATGACATCGTTAGTCCAAAATTGGGGAAGTGATACTGTTTCCTGCATTCCTTTTTCTTGGAGAGCCGAATAGCCTCTTGATTCTCCCAGTCTATTGATTCTCCATGTGGGTGGCCTTGAATTTCAAGAACCATGTGCCAGACAGTGATCGGTGTTTGTTGGACTTCGGTGAGGTCTACACATTTGTGCAATTGCAGATCGTTCGTTTCGAGGTGAATCCCCTTGATATTCATCACTCAAGGCTCATTTCTGTTAACTCCTTCTGTCATGCTTTTAATACTTGTCAATGTGGAAGCAGCGTCCAGATAGAATTTGGCTTACTTTTTCATTGATAGTGAAGCATCAGCCTCACCATTTCACTGAGTCACTTTTGTGAAAGTTTTCCCTTATGCCAGTGGAATGCCCAACTCTTCGAGCTCTTGCCTAACTGCAAATTTCAATTTTCTATGACTGGTTGTCCGTGAGGCGAGAATCTGACGTCAGCGCCGGTGTCTGCCTTGGTGTGGGTTGGAAACTATTCACTACGTCTAAAATGGTCGCTGACAAATCGATGGAGGTCTTGAAAGCGTTTGAAGCATTTTGGTGTTGTTTTCTCGCCATTCCATGCATACACGCCCTTCATCAACGCTAATGGCGGTTGTTAGATTGTCTTGGTGCATCTCTATGGGAATAACGTCTGTTTTTATGTTGGTGTAATTCAAATCGCGGTTTGTTTCTGACATTTTGTAGTGTCTTGAGACGTCTTTACAGATGCTAGAGGACGCAGTATGCTTGAGTTGAATGCTTAAATTCAACAAGAGGGCGGGGGATAGGTAGTCAGGCAAACAGAGCATTGTGGGTGTCATTTTGGTTTGGGTAACGTTGTCGCATATTGACCCTCCCCTTTGACTGGATGACGAATTCCTCTGAATCGCTCTCATCATTGTCACAATCTTGACACTTTACTAGTGGGTTACTCCCTCCTCCCCCGCCTAGCGCTTTGGGCGGTAAGATGTGAGGAGGAACCACCTCCATTGCTTTATTAGATGGTCACCGGCTACCCTCGGTTATGTGCTTGTGGTTTGTATTCGCGTTTATGTTTTACGAATAGTATATGCCACCAGCTTTGTTGTTTCCGTGGTCTCTGTTGATTCAATGGCCATTATATACCTGCTAAATCTGATTAAAAGCCCTTGATGTTACTAATAATAATAATAATAATTTCAAGCCCTACTTATTAGGCGTCCATTAGATTTCAGTAGTATCAACTGCGTTGTGTACCTTAAGTAATGGAAAAGGGGATTACGGCTAGAGTAATCGACAAACGCCTGCCAGGTGTATTTACATTTCAACTACGGGCACGAACTAGCTATTGCCTTCACAGTTCATTGGTTTTCGTTTAAAACAAATCCAACATCCACTTACCGCCTCCTTGCGCTCATCGCATTTCTTCGAAGACTTCACTTGTTTTGCACTTTGAACTACAAGTAAATCCTGTCGCTATGCGACAGAGTAATCATCCGTAGACAAAGGAGAAGAGGGAAGGGGAGGGAGGAAAGTCGGAGAGAGAAACTGCCCTACTATCTCGTCCAAGCAACAATTACCACCTTTTCTTGTCACTCACAAATAAAAGTACGCTTGATACGCGCGGTGGTTCAAAGTGGTTTCCCCCAGCTTTGCAAGCTTTTATGTTCGTGAAAATGATGCCCATTCTAACAGTGTTAACTTCGGTTGACACGGCTTTGTGAAGGGCCTCCCTGCGCCTACTTTAACATCCATTCACACAAGAGTGCAAACAGTCAAACGCTTACCTTCAAACCGGTTGTCGGTTTGCTGAGATCTGGCGATGAGCAATGCCATTTGGTCTCGCTTGAGGATGTATATGGCCGGGTGGATGCGAGGATGGTAGACGAACGTCCAGATGCAAAGGTAGTGGTGTTGGGCTGATTGAGTGTTGAGAAGAAGGATCTGGTTTGGGTTAATTAACGTGGTAAAATAAGTAGGTGTTTCGGTCTTTTAGAATTGCAGAGTTCCTACTAGACCAAGGAGCATGTCTAGAAGCGCGTTCAGGGTGGGAGGACATGACACCCCTTCACTTGGCAGCATACTTTGACTGTCCACGGGTGGCACAACTTCTCTTAACTCGCGGTGCCGATCCACTGGTCCGTTCGGCGGCTCTTGAAGGTGCCACACCACTTCATCTCGCTGCAGCACAACTCTCTCTTGGCTCTGCTCGCCTCCTTGCCCGATTGCCTCTTGCTCTTGCACCGCGTAACGACGGTTTAGATCCAGATGCCACAGGCGCCGACTTTGCACCGCTTGATTCTCCGCTCATGTGCAAGGATGCGTTGGATGCAGTGCTTCGAACACCCTATGGTGAGACTGCGCATCTCCTTTTTCGATTTTGAAGTGAATGAATGGGGCATTGAAACACCTCAATTTTCTACTGTATTGTCAGGCTTGACAGACAAGCCGATGACTAAATAGGTGATCACGAGTGCCGCAAATCAGTGAAACCAGGTGGCCTAATTTGGCAGCCATTTGGACATTTCACTGCAGCTGCTGTTGCCTACACCGACCCCATTAGGAGGAAAACTATAACATAGTCGCATTTTTTGTCCTCTCAACCCTTTTCCAGGAAATCTCATTTCCTCTCACTGACACTGTTACTAAGGTTTTCACGTTGTTTTAACCGCTTTCATATTTGTTTTGTTTCTGTGAAGAATGCTAGTGTGCTCCACTCCTGTCATGCGTGGTGATACGACATGTCGGATTCTGCCTCTCCCTCACGCCAAAAGCTTTACATGCGCTACTCCAACTCTTCAAACATGAAAATGTTTGTTTTCAAATGCAACCGTGTTCACAATTTTGATGAAAGAGTGTAATTGTCGGTTAAGCATGTAGAATCAAAGGGTGCCAGGTCTGTGACAGCCTTTTTTTCAAGTTTTCTCACCCTTTAACCTTTCTTTTTGGGAAAGCGGATTTCGATTTGGTAATGTGGTTGAGAAAGTGATCATAAAAAACAATATGAATGTGCTATTCTGTGTGATTAGGTGCCACCGATGTTTAGCGATGTAAAAATAATTTTTTCGTTTGTTTTCACTTGCTAACTAGACTGTCTGCCACCAGCAAGAGAGCTACCCGAACCCCTCTCTAGCATGCGTGATCGATTAGCTGAACTGTTGGGTCCCGCCGTTGATAAGAAGACCAAGCTACAGGTGGGCTCTACACTATATTACTTATGCCTACTTATTTATTTGTAAGTAATGTCGACACTCATTCCTATTAGCTCACTTTATATCCTAGGTATGAAGGTGTTTTATAGTGTCTCAGTTTTTCTCTCACTTTGTGCTGCTTATTTCTTTATTATTAGTTCCGCAGACGCATTTTGAGACTTATAAACTGCTTTAGAGTGCATGCTTTTCCAGCAAATATGAAGACGAGAGCAAATGGCAGTCGTGCATGTCGAAGCGTTGAATTGCATAGCTCTTTGCCATAACCTTTTTGGTGTAGGCAGATGTTGGTTTGTCATTATCTGTCACCCTGGAAAAGGCGCGACATTGAAGTACAAAACTACCTGCTGTAATGGCTTCTGATTGACCTAAACTGACAGTTAAATTAAAATACCTAAGTGACATTTTTGATCGCATTTTATTAAGTTGGCTTTTCTGGGCGCGGGCTGCACCGTCTCCTCAGGCTACCGTGTGTTGCCAACAGCCCCACAACACCTACTCCAAGGTTATTTAGGGAGTGAGTTTGGCTCGCCTACACCCCATCGCTCTCGTTCCACTGTGAGCCCAATATCAAGAGACCTACTTGCTCCGAATAGGTCTAGGAGTCCTGGGGGCTCTATTCTTCTTGGTCTCCTTGCCCCGGCTTGCAGTGCTACTGAAGTTGCCGCTCCCATGCCTGGTAAGTGTTTTCAAAGAACTGGAATTGTTAACTGCCAAATACCTCCTCTTTAACAGCCGAAACCGGAGTCTTGTCGCCTAGAAGACCACGTAGGGCGACTGTTGCGTCCACGGAACCAAATACACCCTTGGCATCTCCGGCTAGGGTTCGTGGTTTGAATGTTTCCCCACCTCCTCCATCTCTACCTCTGACGGTTTCCTCAGCTACCGCTACTCCTGTCCACCACGCCCTTCCCTCTACCTCTGTCGTCTCTGCCAAGGTCACCTTACGGGCCATGGGATTGGCTCTGGGCGACAGAGTTTGTGTTGGGCCCGGCGGTGGTAGCAGTGATGGGTCGACCAAGTTCACTGCAGCGACAGCTGCTACCAGCGGTCGAATGGGTCGACTGAGGTACTGTGGACCAGTAGAATTTGCGTCTGGGGTGTGGGTTGGCATTGAACTGGATGAGGCCTATGGTAAAAACAACGGTTCAGTCAATGGGGTGAGTTTGCTTGTCGCCGGCTTTCAAAACTACTCCGTCTCTATTTTCGCATCAAGTACATCGAATACTTTGCACTTGTCGGTGAAATTTTAGTTGTCCCATATTCAAGTTCTCTTTTTGGATTTTCCTTTTTCTGTACTGCAAGATATCGGCGGGCCATTCAGTGGATAATCAGAGTTCCTTGAATAGTTGTTTGGAATAGAGAGCATTTGGGTGGCGGCATTGAATCCACTTTACTTTTAAGTAGAGCACACCTCTCGGTGTCGTCCATGCGGATAGAGCAGGCTGACTTATTACACATATGTAGAGGGATTGACTTACTACTGTCTCCATTCACCAAGTTTGGCCAATTTTTGTAGGTATCCTACTTTGAATGCGCTACCAACCACGGAATTTTCGCGCCCATCGGTCGGGTGTACAAGGTCAGTAGAACGAGCGGACAGATACGTCCATGTTTTGTTGAGGCAAATGGGAGACGCTCCACTCCAACGCCGTTGCAGAACATCCCCGTTGATGTGTCCCATGTTGGCGCTAAAGTCGACACTGGTGAGTGTTGAGGTCGCGATTTCATCGTCATACTTACACAACGGCTAGGTCACCTCTGAAGGTCGATTTACGAGCCCAGGTGTCTAGGAAGCAATTGTCAACAAGCAGATTTGCATTCTCTTGTTTAGGTTTGCACAAGCCATCCGCCACAGAGGAGTTTAAAATCGGTGACTCGGTTCTGGTGGCGGGTCTACGACGTGGAACTATTCGTTTTGTTGGTGAAACTCAATTTGCTCCCGGTAGGTGTCTTTGTGTGTGTTCCTTTTGTTTGCATATAAGCATCAGTGCTTGAACCCGATGAAATTGCTCATTTGTTAAATTGTCGCCTATTTTTCCTAGAGCATGCTATCGCTTCAGTATGTACCAATGGTGTTTGTTTCCCATGCAGGCATTTGGTACGGTGTGGAGTTGTCAAAGGCTGTGGGAAAAAATGATGGTTCTGTGGAGGGTGTTCGTTACTTCACATGTGAACCGAAACATGGTGTCTTTGCTCCGGCTCAGCGTCTACAACGGTAAGCTTATTTTTCATTTCTCTAATGAATAAGATTGACTGTTATCTTCCAGTCGACACGTCTATGGTGCCAGTAAAAGTGGGTGGGCTGCTCACTGGGGATCATTTACGTAGTCTTGGCCATAGCTTTTATAAGTTTGTGTAAAAGGTTGTCCGTCCAGTCGTCCACTGTTGCCACATCTTCATCATGTGCTTCTGCGGTCTCGGAACCAAGTCAAACTTTGGCTCACTTTGAAGGAGGCCCAAAGCGAGAGGATTTGAGATGAGAGGAATTTGGTGTACTGAATTGATGTCGTGCCATCTTCTACAATGGTAATAAGCGATCGCGCCTTCTACAGGTCGTTTCAATGTGTAACGTAGTCACCGGGTTGACTCCCTTGAAAGTCATCAACTTCTGCCTCCGTCGACCAGTGCGTCGTGAAGCATAGCACTTCTCGAATCGCTGTGCCGAAACGGTGATTGAGGGGGCGACATCGTCTCCATTTGTCCTCTCGATATGGTGTCATCTCGCATCTTGACGATTTCACAGCGAAATCCCTTGAATTAGCTTCTTGAATTGGCTTGATTTGCATTTCCGTTAGTCGTTAAAACAATTTACGTTGATTTTCTTTCACTGTCTACCTCATCTCGCCTGTGCTGACATCCACTTGCATCACTGGCGAATTATCAAAACAACTTCTTGGCATTCGGAAAGCTTCCAAAGTATCAGCCCTTAGACTTCCCAAATTGAGGGGTAACTCTGACCTGATTTTCAATTGTATTGCAACAGTGAACTGGATCCTTGTGCTCACCCATTTGTTCGAGGCCATGACTACCCCAACAAGTTGCTGTGAGAACAGTCAGCCTTCGATCACTTCAATTTCTGTCTCGCTTTTAGTCCTGTGTCGTGTGCTTTAATTCTCTGGTTGTCTAGTCCTTTGAAAAGACAGGAGATGGGACCGGGAATGGCGATCTCGACAAAATACCAATCTTCTTACTGGCAAAATTCATGACGATGTTGGATCTGGCATCGTCTAGCAGAAGTGCGACTCCTCTCCAACGTATTCACCACTCTCAGACATGTCTACAGCACTTTCTCCCCCGTCTCCTGCACATCTGGCACAAGCTCCACTGATCTTCAGTCCTCATCTATACACTCGTCTCAATCCATAATCCACTACGCACACTTAAAAGCCACCTCCACCTCCTGGCAAGACGAGGTGGCTGTCTGAAGCTAAGTTGCCACACACGACTTGCCGGGTTGGCGCTGTTTGTGTAGTGAACTTGTTGCATCACTGGTGTGAGGCACGAGGCATTGTTGATACCGGCGTGCACAGTCCAGTGGAATGGAGGAGGTGAGCTGTAGGCCGTGCATCTGTTCTGGATTACGTGAATCAACGCTTAGACCGAAGTGAGTGGTTTTACGGTCCCACTTTCTAAAATGCCAACTCGTTTGATGAGGAGGATCAAAGACTTGGAAAATGATTGCATTAAACACTTGTGAAGAGTGCACTTCAACTCACAGTAGAATCCTTCACTTTGGACACTCGTGCCACAGTGCGTGATGCGCTTTGTTCAAATGGCGCTATTTTTCAAGGTCCTCCTGCTTGATTCTTTTATTTACTGATCATCTGGACTATCGTTCCTCCTTTCACCAAGTTCTCAAATTTAATTCTCCTTTGTCCTTTTCTTGTTGTGATCTTTTATTCTGACCTCGATTTGGAGCGTTTTGAATGCTCTTGAATGCCTAATCCATTCATCCACATGTCGATCCCTTGGCAGTCCTTTTTTTGACCAGTTCTTGATTTTTTTATCCACTAACGTGCCCAATATGTATTCACATAACTGAGTGTTCCATAGACTCCCATCTATCACTTCCTTCTTCCTTTCCCTCTCTTGCAGACTTCCACCACGCAACCGATCTTCGATTCTTGCCAGCAACAACGATATGAGTCAATCAGTGCATGCGGACTTTTTGCCCGACTGTCAGCGTCGTCGTCCAGCAACTCCAGACTGTTCACGACGGTCTGACCTCGCCTTTACTGACAACTATGCCTCTCTTGGACGCCCACGACCTTCTACTGCTTCTTTGAGGTCCTCAACTGGTGCGGAGGGTGGTCGTAGGTGGACCTCAGGTGCTGTTGAGGAATTTCACTTGCAGGTCGGCATGCAAGTGCTCTGCACGGGAGAACTTGGTAGGCAGTGCTGGCACCTGGAAGACCAGCTAGGATGCACAGCGACTCTTTCCAGTGCTTCTTTATCATCTCACTCTAATTTACTGCATCAATTTGTTCGTTTGAATTCAACTTCAGCTCTTCGTTGTAATTGTCATCGTCTCCAGCTTGTTAACATTTCAGTATTCAATGCCATAAAGAGTTTGAAATCCCTTTTTATTTATCACCGAATCGAGGTAGCATTGCTTTTAGTCGATTGACTAGAACTTTTGTAGAAATCGTTGAAAACGACGACAACTGGCTCTGATCCTTTTAGGAACCCTTCGTTATATCGGTCCCGTGGACTTTACTGATGGCTTGTGGTTGGGCGTGGAGCTTCGTGGACCGCATGGTCGTCATGACGGTGCAGTTGCAGGCCATCGGTACTTTACTTGCACTCCCAATCACGGTGTTTTGGTGCGCCCTTCACGTGTCACCTTCAGGGGCATCAATGCAGCCAAACTGCTGCCGCCTAACCTGGTGGCGGCCTTTGAAAAGCCGCATGCCAAATCGTTGGATACTAGGTCTGTGCAAAGTCATCCATAATTCCTCCACCTTTACCCTCTCTCTCTCGTTCTCTCTCTGCAATCTCATCCCGTTGATGCATTTTTCTGCTTCGCTTTGCTCCACCTCTCTTTGGGTGTTAATTTACTGCGATAATATCAATCATGCAATTTTATTTGTAAATTTTTCTACCCCGGCTGTCTCTCTCCTCTCCCCTTAGTTTGTGGACTTGATTCGACTGGTTTAGCATTTGATTCTTGCTTTAACATTGCTTTACATGTTCATTTCTGTACTTATACTTCTGCCATTGCATTTGTTTAAGTCATTGAATCTTCACTTTTGACGCCACCTGCCATTATCTGCTTTATGGAGGGATCAGGTTATGAAAGGAGAAGGAGTTCGGTGTGGTAATAACTTTTGTAGCTGCTAGGAAGGTTGTAATCCCCTTTGAGTGGTTAGTTTTGCATTTGATTTGACCAACCCCTATTGCAACACCTTCCTCTCCACCGTCGACGTCCTTATGAGAAGGGAGATGGTTAGATGACGATTTACTGGACATTTCTACATGTATACAGCATGCAGGAGTTGGGGGTATAGTTAAGATACACGAGTTAGTTCTGGCATGGATTCTTGCACTCCATTTGCATGGCATTTAAATTAAATGTGCGTCTTCTTTCTAAAAGCACAATTTAAACTACCGATATGTGCCAAACAGCTCGCCTCCTCCTCCTCCTCCTCCATTTTCAAGCATCGTCCCTGGTGCTAGTCGTTACTACTCCACCTGAGTTGTTGGGGCGTTTCTTTTCTCCTGCTAGTGCGTAAACTTCATCTTCGCCTGTGTAGGGGCGCATCTTGTTATTATTTGTGAGATTTTACCGGCCGGATACGAGATACTTAGTCAGAGAGTCTCTATTCGGAGAAGAAAACGGTCCAGAAGCCTGAACCAAGTCTCCTTCCTTGTAAACCTTCGTGTTAACTCGCTTTTATGCTTTTACAACTGCCTCCGCGCTGCATTTAGAACTTTCACAGGCTTCCTCCTAGTCTAACGACGTACTTTGGGCGTCAACTGCCAATATTTTCTTGCTGAGGAGAGCGATACCCAAAGAGACTCTCATCTTCCAACCTATGCGTATCTTAAAGGCAAAACTCCTATTGAAGAAGGAGCGGTGGCGTGGTACGCGAGAAGACCACGTACCAGATGCGCATTCCAGTCTACGGGTAGGTAAAATCTTTCAAGAGGTCTATGAGGGTGCGATCCATTGTCCTGCGGACGCCACACAAGTTTTGTGATACCCTCTAGTTCGACAATGTGCTGTAAAGCGTTGACTTTCAAAATTTGAGTCTTAGTTGTCATGGGCAGAATCAAGTAGGCCGTGCCGTCGGATTCACCGGTTGAGGGATGTCGTCACTGCAGTCCCGTGCCTGTAAGGGTTCATCTTCCACACCTTTAGAGAAGTAGTCCAGCATCATCAGAATACAATGGTTCCTACAATGGTTTAACTTTTGAGGGCATCATTGTCGATGGAGGAAGGAGGCACTTAAAATAGGAACCAATAAGCTGCCAAAATGATTTGATTAGAACAAAATTTGAATTACTTAAAAACATTAATTCCAATACTTTGTCTATGCGACTGTCTGATGTCTGGCGATTTCTTTGGCATTCGTCTATCCCTTGTACACGTTGATCGACCTTCGGGCCGTGCCAAGGCTTAATCCTTTTCAGCCCCACCTAACATCTCCCTTTGCCTGATAGGAAGTCTTGCGACGCTACAGTTGTGGCACGGTAGTTGTAGACTAGCGTGGTTGGCTCGTGGGTGATTTCTTGCAGCACCGAGTATATTGAGATGGCTTACACGAGAGGTACCAAGGACGTTGCCTTAAAAGGGAGAGGAACGATGTAATACTTTGTTTATAAAACTGTAATATTTACCTAAGTGTTTAAGAGTGCGCTTATAGGAAAGAGGCGGGAAAAGCGGTTCGAGGAGTCCAGTTCGCGAAGTGCATGAAGAAGTGTTCGCAGGTTGGCATCAGCCTTTAGTCTTACCAATTCTCCCCCAAATTCCTTTCCTTCTGTATGTAGTTACTGCCTGTCTACCCTCTGGTCCCTGGTTCTCAGACTTTAAGAGGAAGTTGGTAGAGGACGGTTTATTAGGCATCTCTGTAAGAAGGATTGGGGAATAAAATGCAGATGTGATGAGCAAGAGATGGCAATCGCAAGGAGGCTCCTCGTCGACCCCGCGCACGTGATCCACGTTTCCAATTGGTTCCCGCCTCTCGCCTATCAAAGTCCACTTAAACAAACTAGAATATATTACACTGTACACGCTGCCTAATAATTCCTCCTTAGTTAAATCTCTCCTGACGCCCCAGGTTCAGAGATCTGGTGGGGTAGAGTAGGAAGTCAGGTCCTACAGTAACCACCTGATGTCTTGTAGTTACTTTGGTAATTACCTGGCCTTTGCGCATGCGGAGTTGCCTTAGGGTCAGGCCAAAGTTCACTATTCATTATTTCCCTCGAATTCATACATACAGCTCAACTTTGTACCTTTGTCTTAAGACGCCACATTAATTGTTGAAAAATGAGTAAGATTGATTTCTATGGTCATTTGCTACCTAATGTTTATTTGGTCGAATATACGAATTAAATAGATATGTTCTATTGTGTATTGCAACATCCCGAAATAATGGGCTTTTGCATGACATGCAGACACAGGTAAAATTGTAAGGGATTAAAAGATCGGCTAATAATTGAGGTCGTGTATTTAAATTAATTGACTACATCTGTACTGTAGTTTCGCGAACTTCGAGTTCGTGCTACGTTCACATCAGGCTGTGAAGCAATGTCGAAACCATTAGAAGTAATTGTAATACGCAATAAATGCCATTAGTATTCCAGATTTTTGTTACCACATATTTTTAACCTTATTAACAGCAATATTGGCGTCGGGCTCCTTGCAATGCCATTTTGTTTTCACGAAGTAGGTGTGCATTATCTATTATTCCTACTTTAGTGCGGGATTGTATTAATGATCATAACTCTTTTGCTCATGACTATAGCAACATATTATTCTTGCTTACTGATAATCAATTCAACTACCTATTTTCGATGCGACTCCCTCGAGCGCGCAGGTTTGTACTATTTGATTCCTGATAATGAGCTTTTTAGCATACAAGTCTCACGGCACCATCGGGAAACGATTGGTTGAGATATGGTAAGAATTGATTATTCATAATTGGCATGGTTAATATCTTAGTCTCATTGGTTTACTTTTTGGAATGTTAGTTGGGCTCAATGTTGCGATCAGTGATTTGGGTAGTGAAATATTTTCTACCATTTACGGTGTGAAGGTTTGTGCTGTACTCTTGTCTCATTTTGATTTTAGGCCACATTTACTACCAGACGCTGCGTTTTGCTGGTTATCATAGCTCTCATAACTCCCTTTTGCTTTTTACAGCGTATCGACTTTCTTAGTGCTACCAGTTTAGTAGCAGTGATTATTTATATTATCTTCCTTTCTAACGTACGTATTATTTGATTTTTTTGGCTTACCATATGAACAATAAACATTACTAATGCGATTAATTTGTCTAGTTGTTGATAGTCTATCTGCTTCCTCGAATCTTCTCAGTTTACTTCTCTCTGAAGTATTTCCGTTTGTGGCGACCAGAAGGTTTGGTGCGCTGTGCCCCAATTATCGCAAGTTCTCTCTGTTGTCAGGTGTAAGTGATGTCCAAAATTGACTTTTAGTCACCTAATAGGAGTCTTCTATAACTCGTGTCATTATTCCAATCGTTTTCAGCCAAGTGAGTACAATCTACTCGAGTTTAAATAACCCTCCACTATCTACCATGCGAAAAGTCCTGATCTGCGCTCTCTCCTTCATTTTCATTTGCTATTCTGGTGTAAGTTGAATTATTTACAATGCTTTGCTCTTTGGCTGATTCATATACTTTGAAATTTGAATAAGATTTTTTTTAAAAGTAGCGAACCATCGGAGAGAGAGGCGACTTTCATGTAAATCTTGTCATGCAACTTTGTGTTCTGTATTACTCGTAAGGAAGCTTTTTTCATAATGCCTTTTGTATGTTTCCCTCACATTCAAATCTCACATGGTCATTTTGGCCTCTCAATCAGAGTCGCCTATCACACGTTGTTATTTCTGACCGTTTATTACTTTGCTTTTTCACACACTCAAGCTACAAATTTAGAACATATTCTCAACATTTCATTGGCTGTCTCATTTTTTAATGATCGCAACACGCGATGTAGAAAGAACGATATTGGCGCTACGCCTGAGTTGTTGCCTATCTTTAGCAAGTCCTTTCAGTCTTACTAACTATTTTTGCCCTCCAATCACGCCATCTGTACGCATTGAAGCCTGAAAATGAGTGATGCAAGAGCCGAAACACTAACGGCTGAGATAGAGGGATAGGTAACATTGAAACGGCCTTAGGGTCATGATTTGTATGCGTTTCTTGTGTGATTTAAAAGGACTACATCAGGTTGGTGAAACTGTTTGAAGGTGACCAATACAGGTCGTCCTCCCTGATGATCAGTCAATCATCACTGCCTTATACCAAATGGATGAATGCAAGTTAATGACAGAATTAAGGTCACTTTTTATCTCCTCTTTTTCTTTAGGCTGGTCTGATGGGTTACATGGCCTTCTACCACGGTTTAAACGAGTCGTTACCTGGTGACATGTTGGCCAGTTACCCCGAAGACCATCGAGCAGTTCATATTCGTTTGGGCTTCCTCTACACAGTTGCTGCCTCTCTTCCTCTCCTCCTCTTTCCTTTGCGCACCGCCTTGCACAGTCTGCTATTCGAAGAAGCTGTGGTGAGTGACCCCTCGTTTTTATGTGCTCGAGTAGAAGCAACTTCTGTTCTGTCATGCCTTCCTCTTCTTGGTTGTAGGTGGAAGAAGGTCCTCTCTATGTGGACGCTCCACTGACTATTCCAAATTTGCGATTCCACTGGCTAACTGGTGCTGTCATATTCCTGTCTGTCGTCGCTAGTCAAGCCACCGACAAGGGTGCGTACCGTGACATCTTAAAGTTGTTTATCTTAGCGAAATTGATGGTAGGCTGTTACAAGCGTCAAAAGGTGTTTATGTAATTCTCCCATCGCTGATAGAGTCCCCTCTTATTCTTCCAAAGCGGTTCGGATTACTTGGGAGGAAATGGTAGCGGTTTAAAAACTCCAAACTTACCGCTGATAAAGACGGCATTGAAACTCCTCTCAAGTGGCTACAGCGGGTTGTCTAGTTTCTATTCAAAGGTATTCTCATGAACACATGAAAACTGTCCCCGGTCCATTGTTGTGTCACTCCTTGTGCACTTTGGAAAAGTGGGACCGTAAAACCACTCACTTCGGTCTAAGCGTTGATTCACGTAATCCAGAACAGATGCACGGCCTACAGCTCACCCCCTCCATTCCACTGGACTGTGCACGTCGGTGTCAACAATGCCTCGTGCCTCACACCCGTGATGCAACAAGTTCGCTACACAAACAACACCAACCCGGCAAGTCGTGTGTGGCAACTTAGCTTCAGGCAGCCACCTCGTCTTGCCAGGAGGTGGAGGTGGCTTTTAAGTGTGCGTAGTGGATTGTGGATTGAGACGAGTGTGTAGATGAGGGCTGAAGATCAGTGGAGCTTGTGCCAGATGTGCAAGAGACGGGGGAGAAAGTGCTGTAGACATGACTGAGAGTGGTGAATAGGTTGGAGGATTCGCACCTCTGCTAGACTCTGCGGAACTTCACACTTTCCCGTGGAAAGATTTGAAAATCTCCTCAATCCTCCACCTCGTCGAATGACGTGTGTTGGCGAAAGACTGAAAGCGAGGTGGAACTGGAAGTGGCTGGAGGCGAAGCTAGGATTAACAACACACTCCATTCCTAGTCTTCTTTGTGCACAGCAAGCCACATAGACCTAGTTCACTAGTGTTGCTGTGAGCTGAAATCTTCGTGAGTTAGTTACACAAACCTCCATTTCTGCAATCATGAATGCGTGGACCGGCAACTGCCTTTCTCTCTCCCCTCTTCCCATGAATTGAGTAGAATTGGTTGGCGGTTCTAGGCCACAGTGGTTGAAATCGGCTTCTCAAATACACCGCCACCGGCATTAAACAGGTTTGAATGCATCGCCACGAGAAAAAGGAGGCGTTTATGGATGTGAGTAGTGAATTACTTGTTTTTGTTAGATGTTGGCGGCAGGATCGCGATGTAAATCAAACCGTGCCGTCAATTTTGTCACTCCACTACAGCTGCAGGTCACAAGTGATGTCGAGTAGTCGTTGACGCAAAGGTGCTGGTAGCATCGTAGCGATTCTCTTAGTGATGAAAATCGATTAGCCAATGGCGACTATCTTTGCATTTCTACATCTCAATCCCTGTCCTTAGGAGTGTTTGCCCGAGAAAAGAGGTTGAATACCTCCGCTCTGTGCCCCTCTGAGACAGCCCAGACGGACTGTCACACCTAGTCACGGAACGGTCTGGATGTTTCTCGTCAGCTTACCTTTTTTTTGCAGTAGTCACTGATGCCGTAGTTCATCCACTACTTTTCAATGTCCTCTTCAGTCACCAACCGTGGCTGGTGGACTTAAGGAACGTATAGCGAGTCTGTAGGAATCTTCTTGGGGTCAAACTTTGCATCGATTCTATTTTGCTTATTTTCGACTTGCAGTGGAGGTTATACTGACCAACACGGGCGGATTTGCAGGCGGAGCAAGCTGTTACCTCCTACCTGCCGTCATTGGGGCACGCGCTGTTGGTGGCAGTGGAGGTGGTCGAGGGAATCGATCGACGAAGCTCATAATCTGCTTTCTTAGCTTCCTTGGCGCCTTGATTTTCTCGAGTCCATTTCTAACTTTTCTCGGAGTGGATACTTGATTTTACTGTTTTTGATCTCCTACTTTTCTAAGTACATGAATTGATTTCATAACTGATGACCTTGCAACACTGATTTTGATAAACGTGCATAGATGCCGAGGTGAACAGTTTACTAATAAGATATCAGTAGCAGTTTGTTTTGTTCTTCTACAGTGTTCAATTCATATCAGCTTAGTAGAATTGGTTATAAGGGATTTGTAAGTTCATAACACAAGGCCCAAGTCAAAGGACGCACAAACCCAGAATCGAAGAACCAAAGTTTTACCATTACAAAAATTGCCGTTTTCCGATGCAAAAGTAGGCAATGCTTTTAATGCAAAGTTTTTAAAAAGGTAAATCTAACTCAATCGGTCGGCCCGCCAACACGGCCAATATCGATATGAAGATAAAAAAATACGCTCCTTAAGGCAATTCGTCAGTCCACCTCATACTTCTATAGTCTTGCAAAAAGTTGCAACAATAAACCCTTGGCACAACGATACAAAAAGGACTTCCCGAAGGCGGGTTCAGGACTACGGCGCGTCAGCTCCTAAAGGAAGCAAGTGGACGTAAAGCCGTTAAGCCTCCTTACATTACTTGCTTGAATGCATCCGCTGAATGTGGATTTTGAGAGATGAGGACTGTCCAAAGGCCTTATTGCAGTGGATGCAAACATGCGGGCGCACTTGCTCGTGCACAACACGATTGTGTCGCCGAAGAGAAGTGACACTGCAGAAGAGCCGTTTACATTCGTTGCAGTAATTGATCACCCCATCTTAAAGGAGAAAGGGATATTTTTACCACTAAAAACGGCATCCTCAGGAAGCTTATGGTAATTGAACGGGGCCAGATAAAAACATTACAGCACTGCCGTAGGGATGAGTCTGAAAATTTGACTTGGTTAAAATACTGGAGGCCAACTAACGCCAGCAGAGTAGAAACCTAACGTTGGACAGTAAAAATCCGAAGAACCAATGCCGATGCTTTAAGCTACTAGCATATGAAAACCGCAGGGAAATCATAATGAGGATTTTTTCCGCAGTTATTAAAGCCACTGCACAATAATTTTAGGTCAAAGAAGTAACCTAAAAGCAGGATCAAATGCAATTATTCAATTGGCATAACTTTCATTTCTGGAGCGCAGAAGCACATAATAAGTGTACCACACACAAACAGGAAAAAAAGAAATTCACCTCCATGGTTAAGGCTAAAATGGGCATCAAGAAGCTTCTTCGAAGAGAAGGTCATCTGACATTCACGACATTTCAGAGGGACTAAGACGAATGTGCAGAAAGAGCAAAATACCATCATGAAACTCCATAAGATGTCGATCAAGTTGATTCTGCAACCCAAAAGTCTTGTAGCAAAAGCTGCAAGTTAGTTCATCTGAACAAATCGATACACAAATAAATGGAGTTGTACAGGCAAACCTCCATGAACTCGCTGTACATGACGTTTTAGGTATCGTTCTTCCCTGAATGAATTGCCACACAACTCACATAATACAAACGAAGACTTATTGTCAGTCTCTAAACGAAACAAGCGCAGAGTATTGAATTAAAACAAGATTTTTAAATACGCAATTCTATGACAACATCCCTGAAGTAGTCTTATAAACGACAGGAGGCGTGTATTTTTCATTTGAGCAATCAGTTATAGATGCAAGTGGGTGGTTAGCATCTAAAAATGAAAAAAAAATACATTATTTAAGCCAGACGAGACTAATTTTATCAAGAAGAGAATATGTAACTAACAAACCCTTAAGAAGGGATTGATGGTACCCATCAGCCATCTTGTTCCAAACAAAATCAATTATTTCGTTAAGAGACATAGTGTCAGATAAAATGGTATCATGCAACGACATCAGGGTACTAAAACTGAAGCGAAGAAACAGTATTTAGGAGGTGCGCCAATTCCAAACGGCCCGCATGGTATTCCCACTTAACCCAACACCGGCTTACGAACAGGACAACTATTTTAATAAAGTAAACTCTTTTCTCGTGGTTTAACTTATTTTAAAAACTTTAAATAATTAAAAAAAGTATATGGAAAGTTTTATTTGATTTGTAAGGGAATAAAACGCTATATGTAAAAACCATTTTGCTCCAAAAAGTTGGGCTTATTACTGCAAAACGCTCTTGTATTGTAAATAAATGCTTTAATGTTAATGATTTTGATCTAATTCTTCCAACTTATATGGTTTAAATACCGAAGTCTTTTCAGCCTTTCCCTTAGGTAGAAAAAGGTATTGCAAGAGCCAAATGTACGTAATCAAGAGCCAAAGGAAGAGATTGGGTTTTGATATGGTCCGAAGATCAGTTCACGAGCACAAGTGCAAAATAAATGCCATAGTGACTGTCATTTGTAATGTATACTGATTTGTTTAAGCGTAGTTTTACGGGTGAGAGGCGGGAACAAATTTGAAACGCGAATCACGTGCGTGAAGCTGGTGGGGAGTCTTCCTCCAATTGATACCTCCTACTCGCGTCATCTGCATCCCATTTCCCATCCTTCCTAATGGCAAATGCCCAATAAATCATCCGCAACCAACTGTCGCTTGAAGTCTGATGTTTAAGGACCAGAGGGTAGACAAGCAGCTCTTACACCACTCAGTAGGGATCACATAAACAAAGAATTACACATATTACTAACGTAAAGCAGGAGTAGACACCTGACACGTTGCCAAAGCTCCACCTCCTGGCGGAGGTAAAATTTGCGTAGGCGTCTTCACAACCGATCACCCTGTTGTGCTCTTTTGTAAATAGGTTTGTTCAGCGCATTATAATTTTTTGTACTTTAAAATATTTCGACACAATACATATCCACTTTCATCTAAAAACTCAGCATACTCTAGAAAGTGAATAACTTTATCTAAAACGTGATTTTCCATTATCAGGTTGCAACGCTGTAATGCTGCTTAACGTGTCTCACGTGGGTTAAGAGTATTTTGCACTTCACTTGGTCGTAACTTTACCAAGCATTACAAACACCCACGAATATTTACTCAAAAATCCACTTTCACACCCTTATCTCCTATACCATGACGCTACAAGGGTGCAACTATTTGTAAATCAAATGACATTGTTTCCAACGCCCACAGCGATGTTCTGATTAGCTAATTTCTTGAATCTCGCATAAAATGGACAGTATCATGTAAAGAGTGCTTAGCAGGCATGATAACACTTTCAGAGTATCGTTTAAGCAGTTGAGATTTGATGGTATTTAAAGAATTAAGACGAATGCGTGCGATAATTCTCCAATTTTACAAAGCGCCCTAGAGCGTCTCAGATGCAAATGAGCCTGGTCCACTCTATTTCCATCGTTTGAGGCCTATGCGTGCTGTCCCAGTTTCTAAACGTCAGCATCCATCTCAATCCCCTTTTGAAATTGTCAAACCATTATTTGGTCATTTTTTTAGCTCTCAGGTATTTTAAAGCTTTCCGGTAGGAAAATCTAATGAGTTTATTGCGGGCCTATACTTTCCGTCGCCAAAGAACTCAATACAACACCCTCCACTTTTAGTTCGGTACGAACACCCAACTAGTTTAGTTGAACAAAAAGTTCTTCGAAATACTTCCGCACTTTCTCTGAATCGTGCGGCGAGGACAAATATGGGCTGCCATAGTAGAACGCGGCCGTTATGTCTTGCTACATGCCCTAATTTTTTAACAAAATCGGCATTGGCAGTAGTTATTACCTCCACGTTGTGACGTAAATGTAAGTCCAAGCCTGTATCTTCTAAGATGGTGTACCTGGCAAACTTGAAGAGGATGCGGGTGGCTGTATGTTGAAAGTGTACTTTGGTTTCCACAACAAAATATTTATTCTAAAATAGCTATCACTTTAAAGCACTCCTCTGTGCCAAAGTGACAATTCGATTAGGTGGTCAGTCTGATGACAAAGTCAGGTGTTAGCAACCTAAGCAATGGAGATTTTTTTGGTATTCAAAAGAAGTAAGTTTGTGCGTAAGCTTTATTTTGGGCTAAGAGATGAATAGACCTTCCGGTGGCTGCTTTCAAAGGTCTACTCACTCCATCCCAACTGCGCAACTGGCACCAAACACTCAAACACGCATAGCAAGGTCCTCTGTGCCTCTTCATGCATTGGTTGTTATATTTAATTACTTCAGTGTGGTAAGTGATAGGTGTGGAGGGCAAATAGCCGTTGAGATGGGCATACTCGTGACCTTCAATTGTGCATGGCATGGGCGGGAGGGGGATTTGAAATTGTGCTATGCACTAGTTGCTCATCCACAAACAAAGGAGTAGACTTGTCATGGGAGAACTGAGGCATAACGAGTTCTGATTTTCGCAACAACACACACTCCTCCGATTTGGGAACAACGAAAAATTGTTGTCCTAACACTTTCGTATGGATAAAAAACTTTCTAAACAAATACCCTGTGTTAAATGATCGCTTGAGAAAACCAAATCGAATGCTTTATGGCAAAAAACATTGCAGTCGAAGGGTGAAGCAGTGCAGTTAATATGGCCCTAGTTTGTCGTGCGGCAACGCAGATTGTTAAAATATCGCGGCAAATTAACTCACAACATAGCGAATAAAAGATTTTGCAGGTCACAAGCTCACAAAGGTCTGCAACAGAAGAGGCGCTTTCCAGAAATGACTTTATTCGGAACAAGGTGTGCGAAAATAATCCACAAACTTAGGCATTCAAATTAATTGGCGTTAGAGACTACAAAATCACCAATACAGATTAAAGTAGTTTGAAATTTATCTGCATGGGTGCTCTTCCACCATTTGCTTTTGAGGTGCCAAGACTGCGAATAAACTCTCGATAATCACAGGGTTTTCTCATGCAAACTCTATTTGCAACCCGAACGGAGAGAAATTTGATATCCTAGAAGCAATTGCAAGGACTTAAACAATGGAAGCGAATGGAAAGGTCCATTTGAAAATACCAAGATAGTTACCTTGCAGGCGTCAAACAAATCTTGTGCTTCTTTATCTTTCATTTCAACAGTCATACTCACTGCAGAGTTATCCGAATTTGGCACAATGTCATAAATAACTTTGCTCTGATCTTCGCGACAATGAAAGTTGCAGAATAATTCCTTCATTAACTGAAAACACTTACTGCGCCTAAAAAAATAAAAAATAAGTTACACTAGTTACTAACAAGCAAACGTTAAAAAAAGGGATTAGAACTTCTGCTTTTACCTGCCAAAATAAAACCCGACTTTCTTTAGGCCGCGGCTAAGCATCTCAATCTGCTCAGTAGTACAGCAACCATCACTACCTTCTTTAAATTGTGTACAGTAAGAAGAAACATCATCAGTAAGTTTCACCGTAGGAACATTTCCAGGAAAGCAAACGTGTTGAGTTGACTTGCCACAGACACCCTGCATAACGCAGGAAGCTTTTATAGATTCAATCAACAAAAGCACCACTGTTCCAACCAAAAGACTTTTCAACATTTTTCTATAAAGATTATATAGCAAAGAGTAATCTTCAGAAAATTCTTCAGTTATTAGCAATGCGTAAAAAGAACAACACACTTTTAAAAAACACGGAAAAAACAACCATTAGTAAAAAATTTTTATAACAAAACGTCAACAAAAAAATTTGGTGGATGCGTAGAAAACCCAAAGTACCCAAGGTCCAGAAACTTTTAAATACTTGCGCCTCGGACTTCAATAATGTGGGTGTTTGCAAAATCTAAATTCGATCAGTTCAAACAAATTTGAGGCCATTTAAGTTTATGCTGATTATTACAGCTTAAAACACATACTACATATATTTTTCAAAAAACTTTTTTAAGTAAATTTAAAAAATCAAGAAAACTGAGACTTTTTGGACGATAGAGAAAGGTATTATTGGAGCTAAAATCATGTACATGCGCTAACAAATAGTTAGACCTGAGCATTTTCCGAAGACAAGCTCTGTAATACTTTGTTTACACCACTACCTGACGCTTGGCGATTATTTTAGGATTTGTCTATGTAGGGACCACATGTCTTCCTTCTGGTCCTTGGTCCTCAGATTTCCAGAGGTTGTTGGTTGCAAAGGCTTTATTAGGCATAGTTATTAGGAAGGATGGAAATGTGATACAGATGAGCAGGTTTAGGGATATCAATCAGAGGGGAGCTCCTCACCGAGTTCCTGCACGTGATCCTCGTTCACGATTCATTTTTGCCAACCGCCTATAAAAGTCCACTTAAACAATCTAGTATATATTAAACAGCCCCTTCTCTTTCAAGCACCATCCCCGATGCTGATCAGTGAAATTGCATCGGACGGATACTCTTTTTTGGATACCGTAAGGACTTCGTCTTCGTAACCCACTGAGGGCGGACCCGTATATGGCCTAATTTTTATGATGTACTGTTTGATCCCGAGTAGCGATCTCTGCATTCCGAATGAGGTAACTCGTGGGCGACAGGGCTTTGATTATCCGGCAGGGTTCCTTGCTTTAGAGGTGATAGAATTTCCGATGGGTTCCTGGCGGGGAATTAGTCTATACGGTTGCACCAAATCACCTTCTTTAAAGACGTTTGTTCGGCTCTGTCTACCGTAGGATCTCTTTTGTCTAGCGTATGCTTTCTGCAGTTGTCTGCGCGTGACATCAAAAACTTTCCTGAGGTTCTCTTTTAGTCGTAAGACGTACTGAGGCGCATTATCACCTGTCGGTTTCTTACGGGGAAGCAAAATGTCCGAAGGAACTCTTATTACTCGGTCTGTGAGCATCTTGAATGGAGAGACTCCAGTCGAGGTGTGAGCAGAGGCTCGGTAGGCAAGAAGAGCCCGTCCTAAGTATAGATCCCAATCCTCGGGCTGCACCCCTTTGGTAAAGGCCTTCAGTAACTCGACGAGGGTACGATTTATTCTCTCCACTTGCCCATTACCCTGGGATGA